ATCCTGCTGTGTGTTCCATACCGATTGTTTGCAACTTTTCGAATGTCTTTCCCATTAAACTTCCTAGTTTGCCTCTCCCGTGATAAGTAAAGTTCCTAGTTGAATTGATGCCTGGAATCAAACTAATCTCGAAGCCCACTTATCGTATGAGTCATGCTGAGCTTGCAAAACTAGAAAATCAACTGTCTGAACTAATTACCCATAAGTTTATCTGCCCTAGTCATTCTCATTGGGGCATTTCAGTATTGTTCGTGAAAAAGAAGGATGGTTCCCTTAGACTCTACGTGGATTACCGAGAACTCAACCGAGTAACAGTTAAAAGCAAGTACCCCTTAACTCAGATCGACGACCTCATTGATCAATTACAAGGATCCACAGTCTTCTCCAAGATTAACCTCAGGACGTGATATTGCCAGCTAAGAGTCAAAGAAGAAGATATTCTGAAGACTACCTTTTGATGCAGGTACAGTTTGTATGAGTTCAGGGTAATGCTATTTAGGTTAACCAACGCCCCTACAACCTTTATGGACCTTATGAATTGAGTTTTCTGACACGCACTAGATCAGAATGTCATCGTATTTATTGATGACATCTTAGTATACTCCAAGAGCCTAGAGAAACAAGCAGTACACTTGACTGAAGTGTTCAAGACCCTTTCCTAGAACCAATTGTATGCTAAACTTAGCAAATGCTCCTTCTCGTTGGATCGAATTTTCTACCTTGGTCATGTAATTTCAAGTGAAGGAGTTTCTGTAGATCTGTCCAAGGTTGAAACAGTAGTCAATTGGAATCTGCCCACCAATGTGGCTGAGGTAGGTAGTTTTCTTGGCTTGGCAGGTTACTATCAGCGATTCATCGACGGATTTGCTAAGATTGCTGCTCCATTGACCTGACTTACCAGAATGGGCGTAACATTTATTCGGAATTACGAATGCAATGAAAGCTTCATGGAATTGAAGTGTCGTCTTACCTCTGTTCTTGTGTCAATCCTCCCTGATGCTATTAGAAGATTTCATGTCTATTGTGTTACATCTCATATTGGCTTAGGGTGTGTTTTAATGTAGCATGGTAAAATAGTCGCTTATAGGTCCCGATAGTTGAAACCTCATGAGTGAAACTACCCCACCCACGACCTGGAGTTGGTAGCAATTATCTTTACCATGAAAATATGGCGTCATTACCTGTTTGGTCAAACTTTCAAGATTTACATTGATCACAAGGGTTTGAAGTACATCTTCTCGCAGAGGGAGTTAAATATGAGATAGAGACGCTGAATGGATTTGTTGAAGAACTATGACTGCAAGATCATCTACCACCCTGATAGAGGAAATGTACTCGTAATGCAATAACCCGAAAGGAGTCCGCAGTGTTGGCCCAAACCATGGCCTCAAGTTGGAAATTCTATGCAGTCGCTCTGCCTTAGAAAATATGGCAAAGGCACCTATCTTTCTCATATCCGAGCCCTGCTGGATCTGACACAACGGGTGCGCTGCACATAGGGATGATGTGACACGTGGGTAGTGCACATTGCATGGAAATGGGATAGGCGCCCAGTACGTGCTAGCATACGCGAACAGATTGGACAGGCATGCAATGAGCACAACCACACGTGCGTGGATGGGACTGGTGGGCTGCGTGCCCGCGGGCTACTCGCGACGTGCGCACATAGCATTGGCATGTGGGTTGTGCAGGCGTGCGACACGCAAGCATGCAACACATGGGCATACGATGCGTGGGCGTGCAGCGCGCAGGCATTCCCCTACTGGCTGGTCTATGGGTTTTTCCCCTCAATGTTTATGTTTTGCCCATTTTTTATATTTATGTTTTTATTTTATTTTTTTATTTTTATTTTAAATGCTTATTTCAACAAAATCATAATTAAATTTTTGCGTAAAATATTTTGAGCACTGAGACTAAATTATCAAAATAAAATAAATTATTTTATAACACTAAAATTAAGAATATTTGTAAAATGAAACTAAATAATATTATAATATTAATATTAAAGGTTTAGGGGTGTCACAGCTCACATGTTTGGGTTTGCAAGTGTGGGAGGAGGAGAACCTATATATTCCTGTTTCCTCCACTTGTGAGGATGAATCCTCACATAATTCTCCTTGACGGGATCCCAGACAACGCAAAATTACTTCTAAAGATGTAATTCCACATCAAGGAGGACCTCCATGAAAATCTGGACTCCTACAGAACCACGAGTCTGTTGTAGCACTAGGTCACGCCCATGAAGCACAACAGACATGCCAATGTAGGCATAAAGTTGCTCGCACGTGCCCGAGAAAAGGAAAAATCCTTTTCTCATAAGGAGTCACGTAGGTCCCGTCCATCCAAGCAAGTAAATAATTCCAACATACTTTTTTTTCCTAAACAGGAACACCCTATACAGGAAAGTAACTTAATCCTTAACTACTTTCCTAAATGGGATTATTCAAGGGAATGGCTAAATTTTGTACAAAGAAGGCTTTAGGCCAAGTGGAGATTCATGGGCTTAAAGAACCACAAGGGGCCCAAGTATCAGCCTAACCCAAGAGAAGGCCAACTCTTGGTCTAATAAGAGTTAAGACTCCACAACCCAAGTATGGATTGGCCTTGGAAGGCTTTTTCCCACATGCAAACTTGTGCACATGTGCAAAAAGAGCAATTTGCACTTATGGTCAATGTGCATGCATAGAAGGAGCATCGGCGGGCGCAGGGATCTTCACTGCATGAAAAGAAGTGTGCGCTTGTGTTGGGCACCATTCTATATATGGGACATTCACGCATAAAGCAAACAAGTTGCCATCTACATGGGTGAAGCATTCAAATAGCAAGTCATGTGCAAGAAGGATTCCTTTAAAGACCACAAACTCTCAGAATTTAGAAGGTATACCCAAAGAAGACTCCTAACACACGAAGGATCCATGGAAGAGAAGTTTTCAAGCCACACATGTGAGGGAGATGGAATCTGAGGAGGAATCCTCAATCTTATCCCTTTTCATGTGTTCCGTATGATGAAAACTCAAGAAGACTTCAACTCAAATGTGGAATCCAAGTGGATAAGATCACATGGAGATTTGGTTAAGGAGAGAAGATTATTTTGTGATTTTATTAAAATATTTAATAATTAAAATTTTATTATTTTAATTATATTATGATCAGATTTAATTATTCTACAATTTTCATCTAAGAGTTTTAGTAAAATTAATGTTTAAGAATTCATGAACTATGTAATCCTACTACGAGTTAAATTAGAAAATAAAGATTTGTATAAATACCTTAGTTCGTAGGTTATAAACACAATTCAACAATTCAAGTTATCAATAAAATTAAATCATTTGTTTTCTTTAAAATTAACTTCATAATTTTGTGAGTGTTCGTCAAGTTCTTAAAACTAAGGAGCTTTCAGAAGTCTTGTTGAGCTAGAGAATAAAGATTGACTATTGGGTAAGTTGTGGCATCCTTTCTTTTCATTTTTATTTTTTCAATTATCTTGATTATTGCATTCTATATTGGTGGGTGAAAATTATAAAGTAGGGAGGGTAAATTAGGCAGTTAAAGTCTTTTGATCATACATGGAGTGAGGTTCTGGGAGTATTACGATCATTTCATGTCCCTCTTTCATCATTCCTTTTCTCAAAATTAGATCAAGAAGTCCTTTTTGGACTTGAATTCGCAGGAACAAGAAGAAAAGGATAAGGAAGAAGAGTCATAGAGCATGAAGAAGAATTGCAGGAAAACAATCTCACAAGAGGAAGACTCTCGTCTTCACAGAAGAGGCCAACCTGTTAAGGACACTTATTTTGATATGTTTTTTATTGTTTATTGATTTCTTTTCAGATGAAATTCAATCTAAAATAGTTCTATATAAAGTGAAAGAAAGAATCTAGGATAAACATCAAGTCTTCAAGTTAAGAGCGCATGGAGAAATTGGTCAAGAGTTTCTCTTCTAGTCGAACATCTCTTCCACCTTCCCACTTTAACATTGTCACTTCAAGTTAATCAATTGATTAATTAAAGAGAAGATCAAGCTAAGATGATGAACGACATCCATGACGTCTTTCATGTTTCTATGCTCTAGAAATATCACCATGATTCATCCCATGTTATCTCCTATGAGCCACTAGCATTGCAACCTGACTTGTCTTATGACAAATATCTCGTTAGAATTCTTGACCATCAAGTGAGAGTACTTCGTTTTAGAAAGATCCCTATGGTTAAAGTACTCTCGCAAAATCATTCTCCTTAAGAGGCTATATGGGAAGTTGAGAGTGATGTGAGGGATTTGTATTCTAGATTTTTTAGATGGGGTTCAAAATTTGGGCAAAAATTTTTGTAAGGGGAGGAAAAATGTAATATCCCACCTATTACACTCTTGAAACCCTTGTAATGGAGAATTAGAAAAATATTTTCTTCCTTCCTAATTATTGCAATTTGATTATAATACATACAATTTTAATTTGTTTAAGTTATAAATATTTTGAAAAAACCAAGAAATTTCATCTTTTTAACCTGCGAGAGTTTGATAGCAAATCCCCTACCCAGGGCAACCCTAGCACGCGACACCCACTCACAAGCCTGTGAGAAATAACTGCCTTGTGGACGTGCATATGCAGGCTATGCCTTCGGCATCACGCCTGGCTGGCATGTGACCTCGCATGGAAAATTTTGCACACACACACCCATCAGCATGCGGATAGCGGAACACAGCTTGTGAGCCCATGGACAAAGCGTTCTCACCCACAGACATTAGGCATACAAGTCAATTCCTTGCACTGGTCCCTTGATGGGACGCCACTAAACTTGAGCTCCCATGCTGTAGGCGAGTTCCCTTCTTCTTTTTGCCATGTGGCAAGCAAACGGCTTCCTTGTCCAAACTGGTCGGCCATCGACCATCAGCAACGGCTTTGATCACATGCATGTGATCCGAGGGCTCAGATTTTACAAAGAAGGGTAGTATAAAATCTATCTTGTCTCCATCTTCTTTCTCATTCCTTTCATTTAAGAGAGAAACTCCTTCAAGAGAGAAAATAATAGAGCACCAAGAGAGAGACAAGAGCTTGAGAGAACTCAGAAAAAGCTGCACATTCGGTTTTGACTACGAGAAGAGAAAATAAAGTGTCGCGATTCTACGAACTTTCTTCTTCTTCGAGTAAGTTTCTAACTCATAAATGTTTCTTGGTTCTCCCAAACTCCCGATTAGTTATCATTATTTCCTTTTTAGCTCATTAGAAAGCCATTTTTGCTTCGATTGAAGCTGCTTTCTGCCAGCAACAACAGTGCCTTGTTTAGGTAAATCAAAACTTTCCCTTCTATTTTTAACTTCCTTTACTGATTCCAATCTGGCCATTTGATTTAAAATAGTTAAGGTGAAACCTTAGGAAAAGTTTCGATTTTTTTCATGCGGAGATTCTTTTCCTAGAATTTCGTAAACTTCTTCAAAAATAACTCAAACTCTGTATATCTGTTTAGACAGTTGTAGACTCCTTCCCTCGCCAAGGATTCATCTTTTCTTCGTACATTCGGGCTTAATTTCAGTCGTCAGGCAGGTAAGACTGATAGTAATTTGATTGACACAAATCATAGGATTTCTAGGTGCATTTAACGGGTAAAATCTTGCAAAATCACCATGCATTTTTGGTTTTAATGTTGACAGCAGAGTGTGGGTGTGTTTCATGCAATTTCTTGAATTAATCTGCATTTGAATGTGGTTTAATTGATGCATGTTGATAGTTGATATGTGTTTGATGATTTTGATGAATGACATAATGCAATTGGAAGAAAAATGGCAAAATCCGAAGCAAGACGCCTCTACCTTGGTCTTTAGATGTATAGGCACCAACATGCTTGGAAATGACGGCAACATGGCTACGTCGTATGAGGGGTGCATGGGGGATGCTGCTTGGATAGCCAAAAGTGTCTGAGATGGGTCCCCTGCCATGTTGAACAAGTGCAGCACGCTACCACGAGCACCTTGCTTTGCCGAGAGGATCTGCATACTGGCACTGTGTGTCGTATGTACTGTGCACTCGTGCGCACAGGGACATGCTCTTGGGCACGTAATCGTGCCGAGGCACATGCCCTACTAGACAGGCTATTATTATGCACAGTAGGCATGTTTACCATGCTGGCTCGACAGGTATATGCCAAGGGGTTTTCGCGAGTTTGGGCATTGTGTGCCACAGTGCGGGTTTAAGGAGAAAGTCTCCCATATGCGAGCTGGCTTATTTTATATTTTAAAGTGAAGGAAATGGACGAATTAAAATTAACTAAAAAATAATTGGGAATTTAAAATGGAAAAAGTAAGATGTGTAAAATTAAGGAAACAAAAGACGAGATAAATTAAAGAGGAAAGTTTAATGAAATTTTGGGAACAAATAATTAAGGAAAAAATAGTTAAATTAAAGTAAAATTGAGAAAATAAATGGAATTATGTAACTTAAGAAAATTAGAAGAAATAGAAGGAAGGGATGACTTGGTAGGTCTTCTAGTTGTAAGGCTAGAAGTTTGTATGTTTTGTAAGTTATCTAGGATTTTGTAAAATAGAACGAATAATTGTAATGCCTCAGTATACTCCAGTTTGTATATTTATGTAAGGGATGCTATTCTGCATGCATTTTGGCATGCTTGTTTTATTGCTTAGTAGGACGCCGTTGCCTAATTGGCTTTGGGGCTTCACATAAATTCTACCCAACTTTGAAATCCAAGGGAGATCAAGGATATTTGAAGATTTCGATGAGGAAAAATATTATTTTAATGTTTAGTTTAATTATTTTAATTATCTTAGATAAGATTCTATTATTTTAATATTTTTGTATTTTTTTCTAATTAGATTAAGTTTAAGAGTTTGGATAGGAATTCTAAATCCTATTCCTACTAAAAATAGAAAATAAAAGCCTATATAAATGTTTAAGTTCTTAGTTTTTAAACACAACCTTTTAAGATTAGGAAAATTAAGCTTTATGGTTTCTTCAATAATTAGCTTTGGCTAATTTTCTTAGTCTCTTCAAGTTCTTTAAAAGTTAAGGAGTTTTCCGAAATCTTTTTGAACCAATGAGTTGGATTCACTTATAGGGTAAGTCATGACGTCTTTCTTTCCCTTGTTTAATTTTTCTATTATTTGTTTTTTGTATGCCATATAAGTGAGTGTAGATTCAAGTAGGGAGGGGTTTATTTAGGTAGTTAAATTTCTAATTACATGTTTAGTTGAGGTTTTAAGAGTCAAAATGACCCCCCCATACCCTATTGCGTCACCTACAATAATCAAGATTCTTGCACGATAATTACCCGCAAGTCAACAACCATATAAGAAAAAGGACGTACAAGCAACTGTAAAGACGTCGGACATCACGCAAAAATATTTCATTAGTCAAAAAAATGAAAAACCCAAAAATATCCCCAATTGCACGTCATAAGGCAATTGGCATTTTGGTATTGCATTCAAACCAAATAAAAGAAGAGTAACTGCCTACTAATGTGACAAAAACCTTTGATTCGTCAAATGAAGATCACATCAACTTTTGTTTTCATTCTTTTACATAAAATAAAGGAGGATTTAACTCACTTTTATGAGTGAAAAGTGTTTATTTCACATTTAATTTTTAGTTTTGCATCTAAGAAGTTCACATAAATATTGCATGAGAAAACTTGACCAGTCGTAGAGCATATTCATCATTAGACTAGCATAACTTGGAAGAACTTTCTAGTTATATCCATCGGGATTGATAAAATTCCTTACACTTTAAGACTGTACTATCTTTTTGTGTTCAATGTGTCTATCCTTTATTATGCTTTTATTCCAATATAACTAAGTGACTAATTATTTCTAGTTATTTAGCGTAAATTAAAAGCACACAATTCCTTCTTTTGTGTGTTTGTTCTAAGATTTTGTAAATAAGATCTCATTAAGATTCTTTACCGTGTCATTGAGACTAACATGCAGATCTTGATTTAGGTGGGTCTAATTTCAAATGCTTAACTTGGTAGAAGAAGCTGTAATGTAAGAGACTGTGAGGTAAACATGAGTAAAGTTGAGGGAAAGAATTTATTTACTTTCACTACCCTTTTCTTGCAGATACTTCATTATGTCTCAGGCCATAGAAGGTACTCCAAGTTGGAGTAATTGTGACATCCCGATGCCCACTAGGCAATGACATCCTATTAAGCATTCAGAATATGCATCAAATATAAAATGAAAAATTATACGTCCCTTACATAAATATACAAACAGGAGTGTACTGAGGTGACATGGCAATCATTTTCTATTTATAAAATTACAGATAACTTATTCTTTAGACATCACTAGCCTCAAGAAGATCTAAAATCTTTTCTTCACTTCTTAATTCTCAAAGAAAGGATGTAAGCTTGGCTCAGCTGGTAGATCTCTCAAGTCAATTGGGGGGATTAGATTGGGGTTGAGTTCTAATAACTCGGTAATAAAAGTAGTAATGAAGCAACACAAATAAAAGTAGTAATGAAGCAACACAAATAACGTTTAAAAACATACATTAATGCAATCAATGAAAAATATATTCATCCTATTGAAAGCCCATAAAATTGAATACCATGTTGTGAACCCATCAATTTCCTTTTGCTTTATCATATTGCCACAGCATACACACCATAGTTCCTGGGCATGCATATCACATTATATCATAGTTTCATTACCATTGCACTCAATATCGTATTCAATCATCGAAACACACAACTGGACTCAGACTTAGACTCTTCTTTGTAGTTTTATTACCAATTATTGTTATCTTAATTACGCTTCACTATTTACCTACCTTCACGTGAAACTGCTTATATCTATTCCAAAATAAGACATAAGGGATACCACTATCACTCTGAATGGGTAACATCAATCATAATTAATCATAATTACATCATAGAGACAGAATAATATTTATATTCACTATTTCACTTAGGGTGCCAACACACAAGGTCACTCAGGTTGTCATAGGTCAAGTTTTCCATAAGAACACTAAACACCCTATTTCCAACCAAAGTGGAACACACATGGCCCATTCATAAGATAATGGTTCCAAACATCACATACATCACCGCTTTGAGGAAACCAATTAAACGGACTTAATTGGACAACTATGTTATTAAGTTTTATTTACTCTTCAATTTTTTATTCTTTTTTAATTTCATTTTATCCTAAGCCTAGACTTAAATCTAGACTTATTATCCTTCTCTCTCATTCTTTTTCTCTTCCTGTTTCTCATAGTTAAATAAATCCATGTATAATTTATTTTAATTTTATTTCCATCTAAATCAAGTGCATATTTTAATCATCCTTAAACTACCAAAATTTTGCTTTTATTCATTTTCCATTTTCATTCCTTTTAATTTATTTTCATATTATTTTTCCCTTTCACATGTCCAATTAACCTTTTTTTATTGATTTAAAATTCATTAATTTACTTATTTTCCATGTCTTATTAATTTTTCTTTCCATTTTCCTTAATTTTCCTTCTTATTAACTATTTTCCAATTTTCCAGTTAGTTTCAAATTTTCATTTTTCTTAAATTTTCCTTTATATCAATTTCACCAACAATTTTAGTTCATCATTTTCTTTTTATGGTTTTCTCCTTTTTACATTAAGTTCTCATTTCTTCCATTTTCTTAATTTCTTAAGCAACTGAAATAAGCTCGTGAATGGAGGATTTCCCCTTGTGCCTAAACTCGCGATATAGTGTGCCAGAACATGCGAAGACCTCTCGGCATGCGTATGCCTGGTAGATTTGCACGACTCGCAGGCCTACTATGGGTTGCAGCATGGTAGAGGGGCATGTGCCTCGGCACAATAAGGTGCCCAGGCGCGCTTCCTTGCATGCATGTGAGGGCACCGCGCATATGCACACTGTCATCACACAAGCTTTCTCGATGCAGCAGGGCGCTCGGTAGGACTTCATGTTCGTGCATAGCATGTTTTGCATACGTATCACGCTAGAGGACCTATCCTTGTGATTTTGGGCATTTGGACAGTGTCTTGCACACACCCCATACATGGCCAGGCCATGTCTTTCTATTTTTACTTGCATTTTAGTGCTTGGACACAACGAACAGAGGCCAACGGCCTCTTTTAATGTTTTCTCCATTTTTCCCATTTTTCAATTCTGCAATGCATCATACATCATATACAATCATCAATAAACATTCCCAAATGTTATAGATCATAGATTAATCACTCAAAACATGGATGTACACACACACACACTTCTACTATCATTAAAAATGACAACCACAAGTGATTTTCTGCAAATAATTTACCATATAAATGCTTCTAAAACCTTCATTATTTGCATTGGATAAATTACTATCAATCTTACTCATTGAAGACTCAATTATAAGCTCAAACACTCGAGAGAAACACCTCCTACATAAGCAAAATGAATTGTAACTCGCTTGTGTAGCAGTTATAAAGTTAGCAATGGTTTTGAATGAATCCATGGAATTTTATACTAATTCCACTGTAGGGATTTGGTTTCTAAGCTTTTTTAAGACATTAACTAATCTATCTACATCCTAGAAATGAAAAAACTGAAAAGAAAAGCCATAAACGAAATAGGAACAGTCAGTTTACTTGAATAGAGTGAAAGTTCCATTGTTGCAGAACGAGCTTTGAGTGAAGCTATTTTTGCCTTATGTTGAGATAAGCTCTAAAGAGGAAAGGAATTTACTAAAGTGCAGATGGAAATGGGCAAAAGACTGAGAACAATCTTATCTATTGACAGGGAAATGCGTTGTAGAAACTGTAGCACACGACCTTTAATTGACTGCTATCTTCCTCACTGGCCCGCTAATTTTTGCTCTTCTTTTCCCTCTATTTTCCTTTCTAAGTGGATCATTTTTCTTCTTACTTCAAATCTAAAGGAGTAGGACTCGAAGTATAGCCTTTTAGAGAGAGTTGTTCTATTAATCTTTACCACCAGATTGTTCCGTCAATCTTCATCCCATTTTTGTGGTAGACAGCATAGGGAAGAGGGTCTAGAACTGCAACAGCTGGTTGGAAATGTTGCCAGCACTTGCTAGTAAGCTGGACACCACAACAAGGGGTGACAATGACTATCACGTCAAGACCAGAAACTTGGAGAGCGTACGACATGTGTAACACCCCACCCATCGTTGTGCTTAATTAATTTAGAAAATTCTAATTATTTGAGTTTTTAGCCTCATTAAACTCATTTAAATTACACAATATATTATTTATCGTAATTTGTAAATCTAATTAATTTTTAATTATTTTTCTTCTATTTAATTTATTTAAATTTTATTTAAATTTTTATTATTTAATTTATATTTAACTTTATTTAATTTAATTTTAAAAAATTGGAAAAAATCAAAAGAATGGCAAAACGGGAAGAAATCACGCGGGGAAGTAGAGTTGCCCACGCAGATGTCACGCACAGTGCGCACGTTCCATCCGCATGCATGCACACATGGGATGTGTGCACAGTATTCATGTCCCTTCTGCACGCACGCACACAAGTCTCATCCCCTCGCATGATGCGGGGCAAGGCCTGCCTGTGTCTTGTTGCGAGTGAACAAGCGCCGCCCACTGCGCACTCGACAAGAGGCCTATGCGCTTG